TCCAGCTCACATTTCTTCTCTCTGCTTCTTTTACATAACATTTTTTCTATATTCATTATGTGCAATTTGCTTCTTCCCATTTTCTCTTGAGCTACTGTAGGCATGTTTTGTCCCCATTTTTCCACAAAAAACAACTTTTGTCAGGATAATCACTGAATTATCAAATCCACTGGTTAAACTCTCACTTCTTATCTTTTGCCCTCTCAACACTGGTTCTTAACAAGTTTGAAAGTCATTTGAAATACATTCTTTACTTTGTTATAAAGAACCACTCTATCCATTTTCCTTTCCTTTCACTTCACTGTCTTCCCACTGTCTTGAACTCTCCTTTTATGACCTCTAGATGGTGTAGTGCCTCAAACTTCACTCCTCATACTTCTTTTTTTCCCATTATCTATCCCTTTTCCTTATAATCTCTTTCAGTCTCAATTCTTTAAAATATTCTTCATATGCTTATAGCTCTAGAATTTAAATATCTAGCCTAAACTAGAACTGACTATAAATAAATAACAAAATAAGTAATAAATGAGTTCTTCGGGTATCACTTATTTAAAAATTTACAATTAATATTGAGACTACAAATTCAGGTTGCTAACTAATATGTACATAAACAGATACCTGGCCACAATTTGTTAAATTTCTGTGCTTACTCATGGAGTTTGGTATTAAGAGGAGAAATGGAAGATAGTTCTGTGATTCCATAGGTCTTACAGAATTTAAAGAAGTCATCTGTCTCTTCTGTTCCTTCAATTAAAGGTGTTATAACTGATGGAGGTGAAATTAGAGCTTTAGGAAATATGAATGACACTCATAAAATAGTCATAAATCTTTTGAGAAAGAAAGTAGTAGATATGTTGGCTCTTCATTCAAATCTATTGTTTTAAACAGTATTATAGCTAAACTTAATTTGAGGGCTAGATTGATAAGCAGAATATACAGGCAAGTAATACAAAATCATAATGTTCAAGCTTATGTTATGTGGATTTATAGATAAAATGTTTTATGATCCTGCATCGTTAGGGCTTTTGGAGAAAATTTTACTGAAACTTAGCATCTAGGCTCCCTGGACATTAATTTATGACAGATTAGTTAATGGGAACTCCAGAAAGATTTACATCTTGGGAAGAATATTTCAAGGGTGGATAAAATTGAGACCATGAGACCTATGGGCTATAAAGCTGGAGACACAGGTCTTATCTTTACTCAGGGGAGAGTTATTTAAATTCCAGTGGATTAGAGTAACAATTTAAGATTCTTCCCATTCTGTTTCCAAGGAGACTCTCAGATAGAGAGTGAAGACAACTGAGTTTTTCTTTTATATAAACACCAAGATTTATTTTATTGAGGCTTTTTTCCCTACAATAAAGAATCTGTACAGGGAGTATGACAGCTATCTTTTAGTACCTCATTATGTAAGAATTGGGTTACAGGGGAGCAACAGTTATTATTTGCAGTAAGTAATAATAACAATGATCTCCTATACTCCAGAAACCTTGTGCATATATTCAGGATAATACCAATACATAAAAATATTAAAAACTTAACACAAATACCTTACAAAAGGTTGAACTATCAAATATGTCCGTGGAATTTATAAATAGCAAAAAGACTAGAAGCGTTTGGATATTTGATGAAATTATAGTGTCAAAGGAATGCCAACCCAGCTCAATAAAAGGGCACCAGTGTTCCCGTTAGGTAGATAGAGAGGGATTCTGTCTCTCCCAGGGCCAAAGATGGGCTTCCATCTTGGTGCTGCCCCACCTTAATCCTGCCTGAGTAAGAGCAAGTGCCACACCTGGGAAGAAGGATGGCCTTGCCTATCTGCAAGGATGGCCTTGCCTATCTGCAAAAAAGAATGCAGAGAATTCTTTAGCCTGCAGGCCAGGCAGGCCAGGCACTATAGGATTTGGAAAGTGACCTAGAGTAACCTAAGGCTAATTATCATGTAGTTAACTGTCCATCAAAGTGGTTCAGTGGTGACATCTGAACTACCAGGGGGACCCAATTCAGACACTATAAAACAGACCCCAGAGCATCACCAGGGTCCTTTTATTAAGAAACAGGGGCCCATTCATTGTCTGTGGAGAACGTTTCTTGCTCTTGCTCTGCAAACTTGTACCTTGCTCTTGCTCTGTAAACCTATATCTTGCTCTTGCTCTGTAAAGCTTTCTCTTGCTTTTGGTCTCTAAACCTATTTTGCCCTTTCTCAATAAACTTTGTTCCACGCTTGCCTTGCTTTTGGTGTATCTGGTCACCAAGAACTGAGAACAGGCAACTAAACCCAACACTCCCTCACTCTGATCAGTAAGATGTTTGCTGCTAAAACTGTGAAACCCTCGAGAAGTGTGTATTCTCCAATGACCATCTCAGATATGAGCACAGAGAATAGAAAACAAGCAAGTCACTCCCAGCGAACAGAAAAAGAGGCTGCAAAAATGATCCAAAAAATTCCTATTCCCTTTCCGGTTCATGAAATTTCTTCTACTGCTACCCAGAAACTTCATTTGTAGGGATTTTTGGATTTTCAGTTTTTTCTCTCTATATGGGCGTTTTTCACTATGGTTATTCTTTTTGTTCTCCTCTATTGTGTGAGATGTAGGTTAATTAGTGCTTAGTTCATAGATTCTGTATCATGAATGGCCACACAAAGACCTGGCATATAAAGCCTTACACCATTTAGGAATTCTAGAATGTGAGCTAGATGCAGTAATCAGTTAATTTTTTTTTCTTTGAAGCAAGATTTCTTTCATCTGCTATTATTTAGAACAGTGCACACTTATGAGTATTTCTGTAGCCAAAGGAGCAAATTACAGAAATGTTGTTAGTTGTTTCTGTATCCATTATTGTTTCCTTGGAACTAAAATAAAACTATGTGTATTTTAGTCAGGACTAAGGATTATTTTTCCCAGCTTTCTTCAAAGATGAATATATTTTTATAATTGAATACTGATCAATAACATATAAGCAATATTGTTTTGTGTAGTTCTGTGAAGGCTATGTAATAGAAAGGAGTAAGCTCTCCTTTTTCCTTTCTTCATTGATGAGATAAAGAAATGATAATCAGAGTGAAGAGATGGTAAAAGGAAAAGATCAAAGACTTAAAAATGTATTTGAAGATCTTTTGTTAGTTCAGGTTAGGAAAAATGTTTGGGAAAAGATCATGTGGGATTGACAAATAAATGCAAATGGCCAGAAGCAAGATTATGCTAAAACTGTATATTTTACCCTAAACTAGGTAAACATCAACTTAGAAATTTATAGTAGAAAAAAGAACATGACCCAGATTCTATTTTAAAAAGGTCAGTTCAGTGGCAACATAAATGTTGGCATTGAGACTTTTGAAAGGTTATGTGAAAACAAACAAAAATGAATTGAAGATGAAATAGGAGAACAGTTAAGACAGGAACATAGTATAGGACAATGATAAAGAAGATTTGAAAGCATGAGATATTCTAAAGAGAAAATAACAAAATTTGTTGAGAAATTTGATGTTTCAGTTGGAGAACTTGAAAAAGTAAAGAAAAATATCCTAGTTTGTAGCTTGTATCCTTCTCCAGTAGAAAGAATCAAAGAGGAAGATGGAATTTGGAGAGAAAAATGTTTGGGTTGAAATTCTTGTTTGAGCATAGAAATCTAGGGTATTGTAGAATGGTAGTCCTAGAATTCAAAATTAGGAAGGTTGATAAAACCACAGGAGTAAATGAAGTTACCTACATAAAGTTTCAAAGAGAATCAGCAAAAATAGAACCCTATTATATGTCAAATAAATGCATAAAAGAAGAAAATAAAACTCCCCTGACACTCACAAACACAGAATTTTTAAAGAGGGGATAGTGAAATAAAAGGAAAGGAACATATATTGTCATAAAGCAATTCTAAACAGGGATTTTCCACAATGTCAAACATTAATGTTTCCAGTTATGCCATCCGTAACATTGCAGTAGTTAAAGAAGAATTAATGGAAAAGGTAGGACTTGAATGCTATAAGAATATGGATAAATAAAAAGAAAAAAACAACAACAAAAAGTGTTAGATAATTTAGCTTAGCAACAATATGTATTGCATTTTTCAGTGGACAGAAGTGATGTAATTGATTGCCACAGAGGTTGCATGCATAATTTTAAATTGATTTAGAACAAGCAAATAGGAACAAGGAAAATTTTATTTATTTTAAGTTGTTCTGTGATAGTTGTTGGGACACTCAAGTTATATATGTATGTTATTTTAATAATAAAGCCAAAACCTTTTTTTTCCCTGTTTCCAATGTATTTTCTATATTGTAAGTGAAATGATACTTTTAAAATTGATTCTGATCTTGCTCTTCCCCTGTTTAATGATATTCAGTGGCATGTAGCTGCACTTAGGTTAATCTTTAGATTGTTACTGAGATTTATTAAGACTTTCAGATTTCATACTAATATGGCTACTGGCTGCTACTATTCTTTATCCTCACTTCTGAACCCTACTTTTTTTGCATTATATACTGTAACATGATTAAAACTTATTTTCCATTTCTAAACACATTCTTGTATTTTTCTTGATTCATTGAACAAAATACTTTTTTCTTATCTTTAATACTCGTTCCTTCCCATTTGTTGAGTTAACTTCTACATATTTTTCAATATCAGTTTAGATTTTATGTACTCTGGATAAGCTTTTCTGACACCTAAGTAAACATAAGGTATCACTGTTTGCATATGCTATAGTAATTGCCTGTCTATTCACTTGATGTTATACTTTCGTTAATGATGGGGACATGTTCTGATAAATGTATTGTTAGTTTACTTTGTCATTGTGTGAACATCATTGAGTGTACTTACACAAACCAAGATAGGATAGTCTACTACATACATAAGCTATATCGTATAGCCTGTCGCTTCTAGGCTACAGACCTGTATGACATGTTAACCTCACTAAATACTGTAGGCAATTGCATCACAATGGTATTTGTGTACCTAAACATATCTAAATATTAAAAAGTACAGTAAAAATACAGCATAAAAGATTTAAAAATGATACCTCCGTATGGGGCACTGAACATGAATGGGGCTTGCAGGACTGGAAGTTGTTCTGGGTGAGTGAGTGAATAGTGAGTGAATATGAAGGCCTGGGACATTACTATACACTGATGTAGAATTTATAAACTCTGTACACTTAGGCTACACTAAATTTATGAAAAAACTTTCTCTATTCAATAACAATCTTAGCTTACTGTAATCTTTTAGTTTATAAACTTTTAAATTCTTTTTACTTCTTAACTCTTTGGTAATAACACTTAGCTTAAACACACAGTAGAGTTGTACAAAAAATATTTTTCTTTATATACTTATTATATAAGCTCTTTTCCATTGTTAATTTTTTTTTTTACTTTTTAAACACTTTTTGTTAAAAATTAAGAAACAAAGATACATTAGCCAAAAAAATAAAATAAAATAAAAGTCAGGATAGTGGTTACCCTTGATAGGAAGGAAATGACTAGGAGAGGGCAGAAGTGGGGCTTCTGGGGAGCTGGTCATGTTCTGTGTCTTGAGCTAGGTGCTGGTACATTCATTTTGTGAAAATTCATTGAGCTGTACGATTATGATGCATGCATCTCAATGTATGTATATTATACTTCAATAAAAAGTTCTAAAAATGCTATGGGGGAAAAAAACACATTAGCCCAGGACTACACAGAGTCAGGATCATGAATATCATGTTCTTCCACCTCCACATTTTGTCACACTGCTAGGTCTAAGGGACAATAGCATTCATGGAGATGTCATCTCCTGTGATAATAATGCCTTTTTCTGAAATACTTCTTGAAGGACCTGCCTGAGGTCATTTTACAGTTAATTTTTTTTAATAAGTAGAAAGAGTATACTCTAAAATAACAATAAATGGGCAGGGCACGGTGGCTCACGCCTGTAATCCTAGCACTCTGGGAGGCCGGGGCAGGCAGATCGTTTGAGCTCAGGAGTTTGAGACCAGTCTGAGCAAGAGCCTGACCCCGTCTCTACTAAAAAATAGAAAAAAATTAGCAGGGCATGGTTGGTTGTGCGACCGTAAGACCTGTAGTCCCAACTACTTAGGAGGCTGAGACAGAAGGATTGCATGAGCCCAGGAGTTTGAGGTTGCTGTGAGCTAGGCTGACGCCATGGCACTCTAACCCAGACAACAGAGTGAGACACTGTCTCAAAATAAAAAAAATTAAATTAAAAAATAACAATAAATGTATATATAGTAAATACATAAACCAGCAACATAGTAGTTTGAAGAGAAATATACATATATATATATTTCTAGAACAGCCTAATAGTGCTTAAAGTGTTGACTAAAGACAAATGGCAAGGGTATACCCAAGAGCAAAACAACAGCAAATGTAGGAGGTGTGGGGAACACATCAGTTAGAGCGAGGGATTGTTGCACCATGGGTGGTAAATCAAACTGCATTTATTGGCATTGTTATCCACAGATGTAAAATAGACAAAGAAAATACAAAGCAGCACAGATTAGGGAGTAAGGGTTACAGGAAAGGGATAGCAATATTAAACTCTTACAGTTCTTTTGATGGGTGCTACTAATTAGAAAAAGCTGATATGCACCTTATACCACAGAACAATGGAATACTGTTTCGTTGCTGTCTTTGTTAATTCAAAAAGATTCTCATGCACAAAATGTCAGAGAACAATTATATTGGGGTATTTAATCTAGAAATTATAATTTACAGAAACATGTTTTACATGTTGGAAAAAAACAGACATTAGGCTCTCCTTTTGAGTGTATACATATACCTATATATTTTCTCACTTGTCTGTTCAAACTTGGAATTTCATGATGAAAATTAGTCTTGGTTTTGTGGGCAAACAGTAAGTATACATAAAAATTTATATTTATAAACACATATAATATATAGTTGTAAATGTAAGTTTTTTATATGAGTACACCTATAAATGTGTGGGTACACATTTAAATTTTGTTTAACAAAACTGAAAATTGGTGTATTCTTATTTTTTTTACAATTTTTTTCCAACGGGATTCCTGTTTTGCATAACATCTCTTGTAGCTTATTACTAAATGAGAAGATAGAATCATGAATTAACTTCTAACTATTGTCACTAAGGGGCAACTGTAAGCACAAAGGATGTTTTCAAGGTTTTAAAGGTACTTTTTCCATAGATTATAAGACCTGTGTCATCTTGTTACATCCTATTGAAATTTTCACATCTTTCTTGTTTGAATAACAATTGATTATAGTATAATTAAAAAGCTAATTTCTTTTTTCAATGGAAATCCAGTTTTAGTATTAAAAATATAACACATCTCTTCACTTTTTAAACTGTTAATTAATTAATTGTCATCATTAGTAATAGTTTATTTAATTAATTAATTAATTTTTATTTTAGAATATTACAGGGGTACATATGTTTTGGTTTACATGGATTGCTTTTGTACTACTTGAGTTAAAGTTATAAATGTGCCCATTACCCAAATAGTGCACATTGTACTAGTAAGGTGTGAGTTCACCCATTCCTTCCTACCACCTTCCACCTACATGATTTCCAATGAGTTTTACTTCCATCTGTGGCGCATGAGAGCTGATGAGTTAGTTTCAACTTAATAGTGGGTACATGCGATATTTGTTTTTCCATTCTTGTGATACTTCATTTAAGAGAATGGTCTCAGTTCTATCCAGACTACTGCAAAAGTAATAATTGATTTTTTTATGGCCGAGCAGTACTCCATGGTGTACATATACCACATTTTATTAAACGATTCATGAATTAATGGGCACTTGGGTTGATTCCGCATCTTTGGCATTGTGAATTGCACTGCTATAAACATTCGAGTGTAGTGTCTTTTTAATAAGATGACTTGTTTTCTTTTGAGTAAATACCTAATAGTAGGATTCCTGGATCAAATGGTAGGACTACTTTTAGTTATTTGAGGTATCTCCATATTACTTTCCATAGAGGTTGTACTACTTTGCAGTCCTACCAAAAGTATATAAGTGCTCCTTTCTCTCCACGTCTACATCAGCATCTGTTGTTTTGGGACTTTTTAATAAGAGCCATTCTGAGTGGGGTTATGTAATATCTCATTGCGGTTTTGATTTGCATTTCCCTGATGGTTACTGAGGTTGAACATTTTTTCATATGTTTATTGATCATTAGTTATCTTCTTTTGAGAAGCTTCTGTTCATACCTTTTGTCCTATTTTTAATGGGGTTGTTTGATTTTTTTCTTGCTGATTTGCTTGAGTTCTTTGCAGATTATGGTTATTAGCCCTTTATCGGATGTATAGCATGCAAATATTTTCTCTAATTCTGTAGGTTGTCTATTTACTTTATTGATTGTTTTCTTGGCTGTGCAGAAGCTTTTTAATTTAATCAAGTCCCATTTATTTATTTTTGCTATTGCTGTGATTGTCCTTGGGGTCTTCTTCATAAATTCTTTTCCTAGGCCGATATCTAGAAGAATTTTTTCAGCATTTTCTTCTAGAATTCTTAAGGTTTCATGTCTTAGATTTAAGTCTGTTATCTATCTTGAATTAATTTTTGTGAGTGGTGAGAGATATGGATCTTGTTTCGATCTTCTACATGTGGCTATCCAATTTTCTAAGCATCATTTACTGAATAAGGATTCTTTCCTGCAGTGTCCATTACTATCTATTTTGTCAAAGATTAAATGGCAATATGTGGATGGTTTTATATCTGGGTTCTCTGTTCTGTTCCATTGGTCTATGTCTATTTTTTTTGTCAATACCATGCTTTTTTGGTTACTATAACCTTGTGGTATAGCTTAAAGTTGGGTAAAATGATGCTTCCAGATTTGTTTTCTTTGCTTAAGGTTGCTTTGGCTATTTGGGCTCTTTTCTGGCTCCAAACTAAGTGCATAATTCTTTTTTCTAAATTTGCAAAAAATGACATTGGTATTTTGATGAGGATTGCATTGAATATGTAAATCACTTTGAATCGAATGGACATTTTAATGATGGTGATTCTGTCAATCCATGAGCACAATATGATTTTCCACTTGTTTACATCATCTGCAGTTTCCTTCCTCAGTGACTCATAGTTCTTTTTGTAGAGATCTTTCACCTCCTTGCTTAAATATATCCCTATAGTGCCAGAATCTTCAGGCACTCCATGGGAAGAAATTATGGAGTAGAACAGGAAGGAGCAATATGTTGGCAGAGCTCAACCTCCAAGAGACTTGGAGTCCAGTGAGAAGGGTAGGTGGAGCCATTTATTTCTCTTTCCCTCACATCTCTGACATTTGGCAGGTTCCTGAGATGCTGGAGAGACTTTATGTCCACATGAGCCCAGTTGCTGCTACCAGTGAGCTGGAAGATTCTTGTGGACAAGGTACCAGTCCTCCATTCCTCCTGGGGCACCTCCTACCTCCACAGACCTGAACCAGGATGGCAGGTGCCATATTGCTTCTGTGCCCACCACGTGCCTTTGTCCTCCCCAAGGGCCTTCAACTCCTCAGGTTTCATCTTACTTGTTCCCACACAGACATTTCCCAACTCTGGTCCAGACTGCAGGAGCCACAGGGGTCTAGTGGGTCCCAGGAGATCTGTGTGACTCCAGTGCCTGGAGTCATAGTGAATATTCTGGGCAGGCAGCCTCTGGAATAAGGGATGGACATGATCAATGTGCTAGCTTTCCTCCATTCACAATGTTATTCTCCCATTCCCTTTCCCCACATATAGCTGCTGAGAGAGATAAATTGATCCATCATACCAAGGCTTCCACAGATAGTGGGGCTCAGAGCTTTCCTCTTGGGGGTCTTTCAGTGGACTGAAGGGTGCTTGGTCTGTGAGCTCCCTGTCCACCAGCCTTCTTTGGTGTTGCTTGCCTAGTGAGTCCATCAGAGCAGGTCATGCCCCAAGGCAGTTGTACATCAAACTTGCTTGTGCACCCTGTGGGCAACTCAGGACCAGCATGCTTCTCCCTGACATGGTCAGGAACTGATCTTCAGGGTCTTGGGGATGGGCCCACATGCCAGATTCCATACCCCCAGGTCTTGATAGTATTGCTTAGGGGCAAGGAGGGCAAATGTGTATATTAGTCTCAGGAGGTAAGGGAGC